AGGAGCACCAGTGCTCTCCCCACCTCGGGGAGTCTTGGGGTAAAGAGACTAGCAGACGCAGAGGGCCAGAGGCCCGGGAAACTCTCCCGGGCTTAGGTTTGGAGTGCAGACAGGGACAGAGTGGGGTGAAGTCACTGTGAAAAGGATAGCGTCCCTACACCCGGCTAAGACTGAAATTGCAATTGTAGGGAACTGAGATCTCCAAAAGAGTGTGTAAGGTTTACTTTAAAACACCCAACCAGTTCATGTTTTTCTGAAGGCATTCTGGATGCCCTGACGGGGGCATGTCGGGAATGGGACCCTTCTTCCCTCCCCACAAGAACTTCAGACACCTGCTCTATCCTGCCTTCAGCCCCCAGGCCCCCAGGACCCCTCCTTCCTGGGTTTCCCTCACATAAGCGAGTCATTTAATGTGATAGCCCCGAGTCATTTAATTACTCAGCCCCGGCTCAACTCACCCACCCACACCCTGGGGAAGTTTAGTCTCCTCATCCTCCTCACCCTGCTGCCACCATTTCTAAAGGGTTAGTAAGAGTCCAGGAGTCATGCAGGCCCTGGGCTTTCCCCAACCGGCTAGAAGAAGGAAGTAGACACCCTTAGCCAGCTGGGGAGCTGGGCTGGGCGCCGATCTGTATTTCGGGGTTCAGTCCCATGGGTGGCAGCCTGGCTGAATTCCCAACTGTGCTAAGGGCTGGGGTCACCTGCCCAGATACGGTGCATAGCCCAAACCCATGACAAAAGTCTGAGTGGAAATGGAACCCTCTTTCTCCCACACACCAAAATGTCGCCTTTTGGCAGTGCGGCCCCCAATCCTGCATGTCGCCTGAGGGTCACACTGCAGGCGCAGGGCTTCGCTGGGTCCTGCCTCCTGGAAGGTGCTCACAGACCAACTCCAGGGTCGACAGCCGGCACAGCAAATGCTGGCGGTTAGGTGCTCAAATAACATTCTTCATTCCTCTTTTTCAAAGTTGATTTATAGCAATCGACAGGTTAAAGCCTCATCTGACTTCATTACTTTTAAAAGCTGTCTATTTCACAACTGTCACTTTTCATCACTTAGCTCAAATAAATACCTGAAGAAATGAATTGGAAGAGACTTTCAGATCATGTTTATAATTCTTGGTCGCTGCGTTAACATTCCTAATGACCTGACCCTCTGAGTTTCTGCAGCCTTCTAAATTGGGCCGAAAATTCCTCCTTATATACTAGAAAACTTCAAGGAAGGTGAGGTGGCCGGAAATGCGGCTCAAGGGAGAAGTGCAGCGGCTGCATGTCGAAGGCGCAGCAAAGCATCCCAGCAGCTGCAAGAGCCCAGGCCCGAGACCCAGGGCCACAGACAGAGGGACAGCTCACGGGTCAGGGGATTCCCTTGGAACCAGCTGCTGACAGGAGGGCCCCAGCCTCCCAGCCGCGCCGCCCGCCCGCGTTCCTCGGGTACCGCCAACCAGGCTGCAAAACCACGAGAAAATTCATACCAGAAGGAAACGCTGTTCATTGGGACTATTACTATTATTATTTCTATCACTGTTTCAAAAATGATTTTAAAGGGCCCCCACGACCGCAGATTAGGAGTGGCAGAGTGAGAGCCATTTTCTCCCAGTCATCTTTGACTCAGAGTTGGTGAGACACCCAGAAAGAGCAGAAGCGTGGAAACGAAATCGTATGCACTGAAGTCCGTTCAATAAATTGAAATAGTTTCTTCAATTTTGCTACCATTTGCCCAAGCCTTCTAGTATTACCAGCGGGTGGTAATACTTTCACTTTCTCTCTCTCTCTCTCTTTCTCTTTCAAGCTCTATCTCTGTCTCTCTCTCACACACACAGACACACACACACACACACACAGAGAGCTCTAAGAAAATAGGGGGAAGAATACAGAAAAAAATAAACGAAAGGAGAGGTAAGAAAAAAACTACAGAAAATAAAAGGAAAAGGAAGGGAAGAAAAAGGAAATGAGAGAAAAGAAGAAAGCCAGGAAAAACCAAAAACTTTTTTTTTTTCTTTTTTAGTTTGGGGGACAACTATAGAACACATATTTTCCTTCTTTTATTTTTTTCTTTGAAAAAGAACAACAACAAAACCCTAAGCTGCATCTCTGAGCTTTTAGTGGATTGGGCGCTTGCTCGGTGTGCCTGGGCCGAGGCTGACTCCAGCGCGCCGCTCCCCGAGCCTAGGGACCTGCAGCCCCAGCGTCCGCCCCGCCCGGGAATTTCGAATATTTCCCCCGAGCGGCGGCGCGCGGAGTGTGCCTCGCGCCTCTCGCCACCACAGCTCTCCTCGCCGCCGCCAACCTTCCCCAGTCGTGGCCTCCGACCTTCGCCCACCCTGCGGACAGCGCGGCCTAGGTGGGTCTGAGCGCTCCCGACTTTCCGCTCAGAGGCTTTAGGAACCCCGAGTTAAAGCTGCTCGGTGGCCGCTGCCTCGCTGCGGGGACGCGGCGGCGGATGCGCTCGGTGGCGAAAACCTGGGCGCGCTGCCGTACCTTGGAGCGCCACCTAGCCGCAGAAACTGGAATGACGCCGCCGAGCCTCCCAGCCTGCTGCAGCCTAACTTGAACGTCACCCGGACTTTTTCCCTAATCGAAACCCTCAGAGAAGTCGCAACGCACAGGCCTTCTGACGGGTTAAAAACCATTATCTGTGACCGACAGATCCCACAGTGGCTGCATTGGGATGAAGGGAAAATAACAGGAGAAGGAGAAAAATATATAGGCACAATTTCACCAAGTCTAAAGTAGTCACTCAAGCTGGGGAGCTGCTTTCCTAGAAAGGATAAAATAAATGAGACATGGTCTTTAGGAAGCCACTAGTTCGGGCCGCCGTGTATTTCGGGTCATGCAGTTGCGGCCAATGCAGATATCTCCCATGAGGTGGTGCCTATAAAGTCATCCCTTCCCAATTATGATTTCCACCAAAATTCACTTATTCTGGTCAGTCCAGCATTAAAGGCGTTCTGCAGTGCCAGTCGCCAGCCTACTGGGACACTGCACCCACAGCTTTTGGCTTTGCTGACTAAATAACCTAAAATATAGCCCCCAACAGGTACACCTATCCGCTGGTGAAAGTAGTAACTAACAAGAATTGCAAATTACACAGCCTTTCTTTCCAAGGTGCAACTGGGCATTTGACACTATTTTATCCAGTTGATGACAGGTTTGCCCCGATCTTACATCCACACGACCATAAAATACACAGAAAACTTAATCCACTTATATGGTGAGCCTTTGCTTCAATTTGTCTTCGAAGTGCACCATCCCAGAGATGGGTGTTTTAAGTTAAAACAAATGTTACATGCCAAAAATGGTTTTAAAGTAGAGCATCTCTCTCACAGTCCAGTGAGGATTTGTGTGGTTTCTTTGTTTTGAAGGGAGGTGCAGAACCTTTATTTAATGTAGTTTTTATTACAAATTTCAAATCTTTTTATTTTTTAAGGAGCTCTGTGGACCCTACAAATAATAGGAACTGAACTGGGGACTATAGGGTGGGGTTACAGTTTATTTGGTGGTGTGTAAGCCCCTGTATTTCCCTGCCCGAGCAATCCCAACATAGAGATCACTTCTTGAAACTCCGCAGTCCCCTGAGTTAGCGGAGTGAGCCCCCAAAGGGCAGGCAGGGTATAGACTGAGTGCCCCTTCTCCCTGTAACCAGGGCTCCTCCTTGCTGATTAGGAGCTCTCAGATCTTGCTCAGAAATTACGCCAGAAAAACAGCCAGGTTGGCTTTCTGGCTGGCTTGTCTCTTCTCCATCAGGCTAGGAAAGATTCCTGTGAGACCACACAGAAGAAAGGCCCCAATTTCCTAGCAGAACTTGAATGAGCATTCCTAATAACTGCCAGCTAAGGAGGGGTGGCCCAGGCCCTGGGGGTCTTGAGGCCTGGGCATGGGGGTGGGGGTTGGTGCTAACATGGGGAGAAGGCAGCTGATGAAAGATAATAGGAGCGCAAGGGGAATTCCCAAGAGGGTCCTGGGGCCCACTGATGGCCAGCAGTGAGTAACTAGGACAAAAACGGAGGAGAGGAAAGCATAGAAAATGATATGTGTGAATCTGCATGCCTACAGTTTGGAAAAGGAGTTCTGAACTGGAAAAGGTTTTCTCTCTCTCTCTCTCTTCAAACTCCCCCACCCCCCTCCCTTCTTCTCTCCCTTCATTTCTCTCTCCTCCAACCCTTCCTCTTCTCACATTAAGGTTTTCTGTTTGTTTTTTTTTTTTTTCACCCAATAATGCCTGGAGATGAAAAATGATTTTTATTGCTATTACACTTCCTACCGCAAGATGCAGTGCAAGGCAGCCGAGTTTGTATTACAACTATGTCACAATGTTTCACTGATGCAAAACATGTAGCCAGAGGGTGTTGCTAATGACTCCTGGATTAGAGTGAGATTGAGACTGGGAGAAAAAGAAAAAGAGAGAACAAGAGACAGAGGAAGGGAGGAGAGAGACGAATTTCATTAGAGAACGGGGAAAATCACTGTATAATCAGCTCTAATAATCTAATCAGGATATTTTCAGATTTGCAGGTTCTCTCCACGCTTAAGAGTGTGAGCTACAGAGAGACCATTATCCTTTTAAACACCACAAAGGTTTTTTTGCATGTTAATAACTATTAATTATGTTTACAGCCAGTTAAGTGAAGAACTCTCCTTTGGAAAGAAACTTCGGAAAACGCTTAATAGCAGACTAAAGCTTTTTCCTGGAGCCAAGGTCGCTTGGAGGGAGGTGGGGGCAGGGTAATCACCCAAGGGTGTGCCGAGCCCAAGGCAGCTAGCAGAGGCTTAAAGCCCCTGCCCGTGGTCGTGCACACAAATGTGCAAACGCCTGTGACGGCCTGTTGGGGTCCAGGGTGCCCCGTCGGACCCGTGGCGGAACTCATAGGCGCAGCCAGCCGCCCGGGCTCGGCTTCCGCTTGGTCTTGGCAAAAATGTCCCTCCGGGCTCCGAACTCCCCGGCGCCCTCCCCCGAGACCAGCTCTATTTAGGGAAACGGGAGGTTTCGCGGTTCCTACCGTGGCCCAGGCCGGTCCCACTGCCCAGCAGTCCGCTTCTGCCCCCCGGGGCACAGCAAGGAGGGCGTTCCCTCGGGGCTGCGGCCCTTTGAACCCGGGGAGCCCTCGACTCCCGCCAGGACTCGCGGAGCTCGCTCGGGGCCCGGCTGCGGAGCCGAGTGTGGGTGGCGGGTGGCGTTGAAGGGGAGTGGGGGAGGCTGGAGGGGATGGAGGGGCGGGGGCGGGAGCCGGGCGTTAAGCCTGGAAGCTTGGCTGTTTACCCAAACGATTTTCCTTTCAGACCCGAGACGCCAATGAGACAAGATCAAACTCCCCTTCTCGTAGTGCGTGTGTGGGGGGTGTGTGTGTGTGTGTGTGTGTCCTCTTCCAGGAGGGGTTTTGTGAATGGGGGCTCCAGGATGTCGGCTGGGAGGGACCAGAGGCCGGCCCGGGCACCAGCGCCTCCTCCCGGGGACTGGGAGAAGCCGGTCGGAGGGCTCGAGGTCTGAGCGCACCGAAGGGCGCGACGCCCCAGTCACAGTGGTCCTCTGGGAGAGAAGGGAACAACAGGAACACAGGCCACGGAGAGCAAGGGGCCGCGTCCCCAAAGGCCCAGCCAGGAGACACATGGTCGTGTGCAGGAGGAGGAGGGGGAGAATAATATGAATCACATCCTCCTTCCAGTCCCTTAATTTCCGATCCCTCCAAAGCCACTGGTTTCTTCCCGACTCCCTCGCTCGAGATCTATTAGCTGCAAATTAGGCCAAGGTTTTGGCGATTACGGTGCAATTCAGGCCGAGTGACACGCGCCGCCTGGCCTGCGCCTGGGTCTCTCTTCGCACTGCAAAATGGTTAGAAACGAAGAGAGGATGGGTAGCCTGTATTGATAAGACATCGGTCATTTTAAAAAGGGCCCCGACCGAAGAATATCCATCAGCCTGGGGGATCTGGGGAAGGGGGAAGAGGGAAGAGGAGCCGAGCAGGCTGAAGTCTGAGCTGCGGCGCAGCAGGTGACAATAGTCCTGGGCATGGCTCCTGCAGTTGCTCTGGGGACGAACCGGGACTAAAATCTCGTTTAAACAACAACAACAGTATTAATATCACTGATAAAAAGAATCAGAAGGCAGCATATTTATAAAGATCATAAATGATTAAAATCTGGTTACATGAACATTGTATGTATAGTTAATGGCACTACCTCCCACAACTCATTGCTCACCGAAGATCGATTAAAGGCTTAACTAAAGAATTCTTTCTGGAAGAAAAAGGTGTTATTGCGATGCTCTGACTCACCCTCTATTGCTTCTTCTGCATCAGCCTGGCCCTAGTGCCCCCCACTTTTCCCACATATGCATCCCTTACTGAAGGATTCTCTCTCTTTTTTAACTGACCAACCACCAACTCCCTGTCCAGAATATTCTTATTTAACCAGAATTCCCCTCCGCTGGTGCTGACATGGATGGGGCATATTAGGGACCTGCTAACCCTTCTTCAGGCCTCTGTGTCTTCTGCTCAGGTGTCCCAGGCCTGGAAAACACTCTAGGGGGGACTCTAAGGGCCTCTGGCTTTCTCCCACATGTCAGGGGTGGAGGGCTGCAGCTCCAAGGCTCAGAGGGAGCAGAGGCAGCTCATGGGCCTCTGGGTATGAGTAGAGGTGCTTAAGGACCTAGCTAGGCATGTTGTTGGCCTGGAATAAATGTGTGTAAGAGTGGAGATGCTCATGGAGGAAACCGGATGTGCCTAATAATGATTGACACCACCATCTAACATTTATTAAGCGCTTACTACGTGCCAGTCACTGTGTCCACATCTCTGGGGCCTCCAAGCCTGAGGACAAACCACTGTGGCCTAGGGTAGGCCTCTGAGCCGGGTGGCTGGGCCAGGACAGGCAGCTAGCCAGATAGGTGTCCTTGTGTGGCTGAGGTCAAGGTTTCCGCTTCCCCGTCCGTCCTGGGGTGGCATCCAGGAGCCAGACCGAGGCCTTCTCCCCATCTGCCCGCCGTCGTCCCCTGACAACCAGTCCGTAGCGTGTGGCCACGAGCTGTGTGGGCTTCCAGGCCAAAGGGGAGGTCAACAGGTTCTAGCCACGTTCGCTCTTCTTCGAGCTCAAGTCCTTAAAAGAACGTAGACCGGGCCGAGAGGGCCGCGGAGGCCAGGCTTGGGCAGATGGGGAGTGCTCAGTGAGCCGAGGCCAAGTCCACAGCCAGTCCAGGAGCCCCGCATCCTGTGCCTCCTCCCGCTCAGGTCGCGGCAACGCTGCACCAGGAGAGGTGCGCCTCCCTCGCGGTGCCAGAGGGCGCTTGACTGACTCCCGGGCTTCAGCAGCCGCGAAGGCGGCCCCCGGCTTTCGCGGCCTGGTGCGCACCCAGGGCAGGGGCCAGGCGCGGCACTCGGGCCGCTCTCCACGCCCCACCCCGCCGGGGTGTTCTAGCCTCCAGCTCCAGGCAGCCAGAACGGGAGTTTTCCTCCATTCTCCGACTCTTCCTCCCATCCCCCTAACGCAGGAGGCTGAGACTCGCCGGTGACCCAGTGCCGCGCCCCGTGAGAATGGAAAAAAGCAGGCGCTGCTCTCTGTCTGGAGACAAAAGGCCTCTGCTTTCAGGCTCCCTCGGGCTTGGCCACTACTAGGTCTTTCGCACCGGCTTCCACCTATGCAGAGGAGGCAGGAGCAGGTGAAAGCGGCGATGCAGCGAGGGCTCAGCCAGCGAGTCTTAATTGATCCCAGAAACTGAACACCTCCGAATCCACGGGCATAGGTACGACCAGGCATCTGCTGCAGAAATACACAGTCTGCCCCCAGCACCCCTCAGCAGCCCCCATCCAGCCATCTTCTTATAAAGGGGCCCCTGGTTGCCGGTGTTTTCCTTCTAGTCTGATTGCAAATCACCTGGCAGCTAGAAACCCTCGTCCCCTGATATCGACCTGCAGAGGTTACTCCTTTCCCTAAAAACGACTCTGGCTTGCTTTCTTCTACTAGACCCACGGGAGAATTTACTGGTTTTTACATTAAAAAACAAAAACAAAAATCTTTAAACGCTCTCTGGGTGTGAGATGTGGTTGGAACTCTCCGAGTCTCCTGGTTCACCACACTAACTCTTGCTGCTCCTGAAAAGCTAGTCCTCTGAAGAATAGTCTTTTCCTGCAGTCTATCATTTCGGTATTACAAATAACTACCGTGGAGCGAGAAATACCCACGGCTTGAGAATATTGATAGATGATAGTAGCGATATTCACAATCGATCCCTTAATAGGCAGACGTCATAAATCATGTTCAATGCCCTGACAGCAGAGCACTTCACATAATAATATAATTAAGATTAAAACTCGAGAGGTATTGGAGGCAGCGGGTATTGATAGCTTCAAAAATTACATTCTGGATATGACGATGGCACGGAAAAGGACCTTGGGAAACTATAACCCCATTCCCCAAAGTAGAGTCTTCTGGCTGCTCCTGTCTTGTGCTGAGCCCCTCCCGCCCTCCTGTCCCTGCACACACTCTTTTTCCCCACCAGTAACCCAAATCTCCCATAGGTCTGAGCAGAGAGTAGGCCCACTCTTTCTCAGAAATGCTATCCAGTAGGATAAGAATTAATAGGGTTCGGATGAGTTTCTTGGATTTAGGAACTGTTTAAAAATTCATTCCTTCAGCCTTGAATATTAAGTTTTAAAAAAATGTTAGGCAGACCTAGGAAATGATGCCGTTTGTTCTTTCAATACCATTAGGTTCCTGAACAAAGTTTGCAAAATTACATATAAATAACTGAATATATGCAGATATGCCAATCCACTTCATCCCTGAAACTCAACTGCCTGTACACCTTCCGGGAACCTCGGGCCTCAGGACAAAACCCCAAACTTCACATTAAGAGTAAAAGCAGAGTGGTCACATCCCATGCAGCAGTGATAGTCTGCTCTTTGCTTGATGAGTAGAACTGATTATAAGTGCAGCTGAAATTATTTCAGAGTGGAATATTAATCAAATCAATCAGAGCTGACAAATGAGAAATATTTGAAAGTCAGTGGCAATTTACAACTTTGTTATTGGTTAAAAATCTTTTGCCTTGTAACAGTAATTAATAATGCTTAGAAAAGAACGATTTGGAAATCCCCTTCCCATTCTTTTTATTTTTCTCTGGCTCTTAAAGAAGGAAAGAGAAAGGAAGCAAATGAGTGATCAGTAGAAACAGGAAAAACACTGAGTCGTTTGTGGGGAGAACAAAACTGGAAAATATAAAAGAAAGGGAAAAAAGATTAACCCCATGGGAGGCCATCAGGAAATAAAGAAAATACAGGAGGAGGGGTAGTAAATCAGAAAATGAATTCTGTAACCATACCCCATGAGCAGGCTGGCTAAAGGTTGAATTTCAAATGGCCCAGAAACCCCATCAAAATGAACAGTGCTGCTAAAATATCTTGAAAGTAGCTCAGCTCTGAATCCAGGCAGAGCTCAGGGTATTGTCTGTTTTGTTGTTGTTAACAATGTATTTCTTTATGGCCCAGGAGCAGCCGTGTGCAGGCTCTTTCCCAAATTCAATCCCTGAAGACCAGACTGGCTTTCATGTTTCTGGTGTTAACTCTTCTTTTGGTCATAGCCAATCCCCCCACCCACCCATCTTACATTGATTATTTAGATTCTCTCAGCCCCACCTAAACAAAATACCCAAATAATGACTTGTTGAATAACTATAAATCATTTTGGCCTCTGAGTTTGGAAAATCATTTCAGTGAAAAGGCTTTGCTGTGAAACGCTAAAGAAATTCCCAACCTTCTGCTCACTGAGGAAGAGCTGCTACTTTTATTTGTTGAGCTTTAATTTGTTGGATGTGGAAATTTTTCAGGTTGGTTAAAAAGGATGGAGGGGAAAAAACAACTTTGGCAAACTTTATCTGGACTTTACTATAAGCCCCAGTTTTGTCTCATTGAACCCAAGCTGGGTCTACAAAAAGTAGCTTGAGATTGAGATTTATTGGACTCTAAATGAAAAGATTCATTTGATATAAGAGGTTAACTCAAAGTTCCTACACCGTGACTAGCTTCAGCAAATGCCTTTGTTGGGTCAGCACAAAAGCAGTTCAAAGAAATCTTAAAAACACACCGAGATATAGACACACAAACACATTCTCCCAGTTAAGCCACAAATGCAATTTTCTTTTCTTTGTCATTTTTTTTTCTGTCATTACAAACCTCCAACTTCTTTCTAAATGGCTGGGATGGTCTCCCCTAACTCATCAAACTTTGCCAT